TGTTGGTAAATCGACGATATCCGATATCAAGGCAAAACAAAAGCTGCTGGATTTTTTCAGTAAAATGGATTCAAGTGCAGGACTGAAACGAAAGATAACGAAAACAGCCTATGACGATCGTTCAGAGAAATCTGTCTTCACTTGGTTCCGGGACTTGGTTCTCCCAAGAAAGAAGCAAAGGAACTTTATTATCGCTACATTTTACGTACATTTTGAAACATTTTTTAACATTCCAGCATGCAACATTTTTATTACAATGTATTACTGATTAAATAAAAATGTTTTTAATGACGTACTCTACATGTACTATAATTGTTTTATTTCATTACAGTCATGTGCGTTAGAATTTGTGTGTACGTGAGCCTGTAAACTTGAGCACGCCCACACAAGATCGCATATCCGAACTGTTTGCATAACCGAACAAAAAGCATGTCCCCCTAACAGTCCGGATAATCGACGTTCTACTGTACCATAATGTCATCATGATAGGAAGATGGTCATACAGCTATATCATGTGGCTCATTACATGGAATATGGTTTCTGTGGCAAAGTGCACTGCATGGCAGCAATCAAACTTACAATTTGTGCCTAAAAAAATCAGAGGAGATAACAGTGACATACAACCTGGCACAAAAATATTTTTAAAAAATAATTAGCTATGAATATCTGAAACACTGTTCACTAGATTTCAATGAAACCTGCTTTCTGAATTTTCAAATTTGATTCAAAATGGCCGACTGGTGGTCAATTTTGTTTTTGACTCCCATGTGCGAAGCACAAAATGGGAGTCTTTGCAGTTAGTGTGTCTGTGTGTATGTGTGTGTGTATGTGTGTCCGACTGTTCCACTGCTATCTCAAGAACCATACATCGGTTTTTGATGAAACTTGGTGCATAGATGCTCTGGGCCAATGCGCAGATTTGATTAGGTTTTGGTAAAAATCCATGCTCGTTAATTACCTAATTTGCATGATAATTAGATAATTTTTAGCTGTTCTATGACTGTTCCACTGATATCTAAAGAACCACTCATTGGATTTTGATGAAACTTGGTACATAGATGCTCTGAACATATGCGCAGATTTGATTAATTTTTGGTAAAAATCCGTGCATATTAATTACCTAATTTGCATGATAATTAGCTATTTTTTAGTGGTTCCATGACTGTTCCACTGATATCTAAACAACCACTCATTGGATTTTGATGAACTTGGTACATAGATGCTCTGAACTAATGCTAGGTTTTGATTAGTTTTTGGTAATAATCCGTGGATACTAATTACCTAATTTGCATAATGATTAGTCAATTTTCGGTTTTTCCACTGATATCTCAAGTACTAATCATCACATTTCAATGAAACTTGGTACATAGATGTCATACGGCACTGCACAGACCTGATAGTTTTTATGGTATATCAGTACATATTAATTACCTAATTTGCATATTAATTAATTTTCAGCATTTGA